TTAGAGATTAGATTGAGAGCTATCGAGCGAGTCGGGAGCTGTACTTTAGTGCTTTGCAGTGAAGCTGTCTTTGCAGCGAAGCAATTATAGCCTGACGGCTATGTTGCTGATTGTTTCAGCGTGTTTGTCGTAGTTTTTCGACGAGTCTAAAGGGGTCTTTGGAACCATCCTGTGTATTAGTGCTTACTAGCGAGTAAACTGGGTTTGAATCTTCATCAAGTGTCGTCATCAGTTACTGCAAATCACGAACCCGTAGAACGCAACAATATAATAAGTAAAATATATATACAATAAGTATATAATAAGTTAGATAAATATAGGTAAATGAATTAAATTTATATAATAAAATAAATAAATAAGCATATAATTAGTTAAATAAATTAGAACCTTTAAATCAATCTTTTCTACGTAAAAAAGCAGATTATTTTAGTTTCACATAACACATATCTTCATATTTATTTAATTATACCAGACACTTTGTCTGTGGTCCATAGGGAATTGAAAAATTCTTCTGAATTTTGATTTTGGAATCATGCTTAGTATGGAACTCCGCAGTTCCGCTTAACACAGAATTAAGATCATTAGAGTACATACCATAAATATTTATATTATATAATCTTAGTTTATCAATATAAATATCATTTTCACAAAGCTTAATCCTTTAAATTGTGAGTCTTAACTTTTATTTGTAGATGTAGGATTCTAAAGTTACAAACACATTAATAGTGTTTTGAATATCTTACTAAGTTTTAACAAAATGTGTTAATATTTTTCCAAAAATTATATAATTTTCCTATGGTGTAGTCACTTTTAATTAACATATTTAATGTAAAACAATGTTTTCCATTTAATTTGACATAATTTGAATACCTCTCAAAAGTAATATATATGAGGAATTATAATGTTAAGTCTAAAGAACAATTATTTGGGGATGGATCTTGGAATTTTGTAGTGGTGGCAATAACTCAAAAATGATTTTCCATATTTTATATACACTTAAATAGGTGGATGACACCTGTCACCCACGCGCCTAATTGTGCAACACAAACTTACGTGCCTAACGCAGAGTTAACAAAAGCCTGACGATACGGCTCTCTTTAAGGTATCTGCCTACGTTCGGAGCACTTTTTTTTAAAAACATAGAATTCTGATGAAATATATATTTATTTAGTCAAAATATGATATCAAGTCATGAAAATAGGTAAATTTTTAGGAACATTTTGTAAATTTTTGAAATATATGCAATTTTATGCAAATTTTTAGGAGAATTTAACACTTACGTTAAATGCCGTATATTTTTCCTCACAGCATATATTTAAATTTTTTTTATACTGTATACTACTACAACACTTATCTGTGTTATGAACTAAAATGTATATGATATTTCTAAAATTTACTAAAAATATGTGTAATTACATGAAAAAAACACAGTTTTTTGTAAAATATTTCTTATCGTTTATATAGAAAAAACTTATAAAACAATCAAATTAATAAATATTACTTAGATTGTAGCTTAAAACCTAATAAATAATATAGAAAATATTTTAGTGAAATTTAATAGAGATATCTTTAGAACATTTTGAGTAATTACATTTCTTGTATGTAAAAACACTAGAAAAATTAGTTTTTCAGAAAACGCATTTAAAGATTTCACATTAACAGAAAAACTGTTCTGTTGTATTTACACACTTAAAATTCTCCACATTTGTACATCACACCCTCCATATCTTTATACTTAAGTAATTTTGATTTCCTATTTGATTTTAATTTTTTTTCTGGCTATTTCGAAATGAGCGACGAATGAATTTTCGAGTTCTTTATTCTTTCGTTATCAATTCCAAAGTAATTTTTAATCATTTCTTGTTCAATTGATAGGCCTAAATGTTCAAAACACAGGAAGTAATCCAAGATACTCTGAATTAAAAATTAAAACGGCTATATATGCACCCAGCAAACATAGTCTTTATACTTAATCGCAATGTTGCCAAAACCCAGTTAAAAAAACCGCAATGTTGCCAGTCCCAGTTCAAAGAATTAAGGCAAATAATTATTGCCAGCAGAAACAAAAAAAAAAGTACCCAGAATTAAAATTTAAATGAAATGTTTTAACACAATTGTACACGCAAACAGTTAAAAAAAAACACGGATAACAACATTGTTTACCTTTAAGTTGAGCCTTTTAAATGGCACTTCCGGTCTTTCTGCTTTCACTTCCAGTGCAGTTAGTTAATTGGCTATACCTTCTCTTCTAATTATCACAAACGTAAAAATGAACCATTTTCGGAATCCTACAAAATTGACCTTTCAAATTGGGCAATAAAAAAATCGAGTTTTTTCGCCGAAATTGTTTTTTTAACGTAGGCAGATACTTTAAAACAACACTATTTATTACTATCTTCATTTAAGCTAAATTGTATTCCTATGAGAGCACTTTGGGTTTATAACAGTGAGAAACTACGAGTATGGCAAAAATATTTTATGAATTTTAACGAAATACGCGTTGCTTCTTTCGATGTATCTTACATTTGAAATCTACATTTTATTACCTTTCTCCAGTTCCATTGCAGAAATTATGTCTCGGAATTCTATGATATTTCAAGTTGTTTTTACTTAATTCAAAGAATATATAATTATTGGAAATTTAAAGGCAGCTATTTAATACCCGTAATAATTGTTGCGAAATAAATACCCTCTTCTGATAACTGTGGAATTATTTGCACAAAAGGTAGGATTTTCCAGACATATTGCAAAACATTTCCGTTCATGCAAAAAGTTTAGAAACGTCTACCTTACCTATCTTCAGTGTTAAATATTATTATTTTTCTTTGTGTTTTAACAGCAAAATTACACGTGTTGTAATTTTAAAGTTTAGCAACTGCTAAAATATTAGGCATCTGTTGAGTTATAGGCAGCCATTCCTATAAATATTATTTCATCAATATGTAAGAAAAATGGACAGTTTAATCTTTGAATTCACTAAGGAAACACTTTAATACCTTCTAAAATAAATGTAAATGAACTGGAGTATCGTAATATACCTCTAGTTATTATTCCGAGCATCAACCAGCACAAATCCCTGTTTTCTCTTTGATATTTTAATCACTGGTTGACAGACATTTTAAAAAGTCTACTTTAAGTCTTTGAACACTAAATTTTCCTTCACCAAGGGTCCACTAACTTCTGAAAAAAAACCGGATGGATCCGAAATATCGCCATTTCGAAGAAATGAATGTCATTTCTCAACTATCCTAAGAGGTGAATAGATATTACACACTCAAGTAAGTCTGAAACAAACATAATCATTTTGTCATTACACAGAACTCAAGCTCATTTGCGTAATACACTCAGGTGCAAAATTAAAAGAATTTGCAAAAACATATTGAACTGAAGGTAATAAATACGCCGCTTAAGTGTTATGCAAATATTGAGAGTCCATTGCGTAAGCATATACCTAGCGTAGTTGTGGAGGAGATATAAGGGCATTAGGGGTTTCCACCTATTATGGAGCTTAAGACTACTACTGCTTCGCAGCTCTCACGTGAGCTGTATGTACCACTGGAACCCGAGTTTCGCTCTCTACAGTTGCACAAAGACTTCATGAGCTAGGTCTTCATGCTAGAAAACCCGTTGTTTGTGTCCCGTATACTGCAGCACACAAGAAAGTGCTTTTAGCATGGTGCAGACAAAGTGCGTCTTAGACCAGACTTCAGTGAAGCACCGCACCTTTAAGTGATGAGTAGAGATTCAGCCTGGACATTGATTCTCTGCCCACCTGTATCTGGAGAGAGCCTGGACCACGATTCCATCCCTCCTCCTCATCAGTGAAAAGGATCATTATGGTGGTGGGGTGTAATGGTTTGGGTAAGCATTATGCTGGATGGCCGCACGCCTCCGCATGTATTTGACAAAGGCTCTCTGACTGTTATGAGGTACAGAAAACATATATCAGAAAGGAGACCTTAGAGCAATATATTCCACTTTTCAGAAGCGCCGTTAATGATGGATTCTTGTTAAAGGACAACAACGCTCTTTCACATAAGACTCAGCTGGTAGCTGACTATCTGGAAAGTAAGACAATTCGCTGCATGGATTGCCCAGCCATATTTCCTGATCTTATCCCTATAGGGCATAGCTGGGATTCTCTTGGGAGGACAATTTCATCTCGCCAACCCCTTTCCCAGAACCCTCCCGGAGTTGAAAACTGCTTTGCTGTAGTAGTGGACCACAGAGACTCCTTCTGTCCTGTATGCAGTTACGCTGCGTGACCTGTCTGGCTATGATAGGGGATCATACTCTATATTAGACTCATTTTCAGGTCTATATCATAGGGTAGATTTTGGATATCCCTGCACTATGGGCTTTAGATGTAATCATGTGTACATAAAATGATTTTTGAATGGTGCATCTCTTTCTGTTTTATAAATGTATATTTAGACCAAACCTATATTTAGACAAATCTTTCCATTAGTTTTTCGAAAATTTGCTATAATGTGCAAATTCTCTTGATGTTGCACACGAGCGCAGTTGTTCTTCGCTACCCATCATTACATAAATGATCTCATTTTCCCATTGGTTGTCCTACCTAAGTGATTTCGGTTACGTTATCACTGTAATTTAGTTACAAAATGCCATGTAAAAATGAATTTGAGACAATACACATTCATACCCAGAGATATATATTAGAAAGATATATTTCGCGCATAAATATGTAGTCTCTATAAAAAGTCCAAAATAAAAGAAATATTTTTCAAATTAAATCCTTTTGCTGATATTGCTCATTCTGGAACTTAATGTATTATTCGTGCTTAAATCTTATCTGATTTCAGATACCCATGTGTGCTTTTTAAACACACTTCTATACATTTCTGATTAAGTCTAAAACACAGGACGCTATTTTTTCCTACTGCCCTTGCTGAAACATATCGTTGGATTAAAGACCCCCGATAGATGATAAACACTAAACTGCGCTATCCTGACAAAATTATTTAAACAATATTCACCTTTTTTGGAGTGTTCTTTGCCCTTGCAAGCGGTCCTTCCAACTCGCTCCACGTTGTCCTCTGGCTATTCTGGAGAGGTCTAAACAGAGGTTCTTCTTTCTGTCCTTCCTCTCTCCATTCTTCACTTAGGTCAGACCTCTCACCAAGAGTGGGTTCAGGAATTACGAGAGATTTCATTTCCTTCTTTTCAGGTGCTGAAGGAACTGCTGTTACTTGGACCTAGAAAACCATTTAGAACTCATGCATCCCCCATCCAGCTAATATCACGAACATTTGCTGCAATTTGCAGATTTTTAGAACTTACGTAGATGCCGTGGTGATTCTGAGGGCCGAACATGCCAAGTCAACATCCTGAATTAAACCCGAAGTGTCTTAAAATAGAGCTAATAATCGTAAAAATAGGGCTTAAAATACAGCTAAGCACTTTTTATGTTTTTTTAGAAGATACCTTTTAAAACTATAAGGTATTTCTCCCGTCTTCTTAACATGCTTTCGTGGTGTAATGGTTGGCACACTCGGCGCGTATTCGAGAGTTCGAGTCCATACGAGGGTTATGCTCATTTTTCATCTCTCCTGCCTCAAAATAGCCTAATATCTCTGCAAAGTTCTGTTACTTTCTGTGTCAGTCAGTCTTGTTTCGAAGTGTGTATAAGTTCAGTTGCTATTTCATGAAGATGTAAATGACTGTAATTAAGTCATATTGTAGTAATTAATTTGCATGTTTGCCTAATTGTACAACTTCTACAACCTGTTTTCCCAGTTCTCGCTTCGTCGGTTGAATTATATATTATCAGAAATCGAAATCTGCATCAGGGGTGTCACAGTATTTTGGTTTATTTATCTGGATTTAGTTGACTTACTACAGCACTAAAACTTGCCGCCAGCTATTCTTTTTTTTTTATTCAGTTGTTCTGACGGTTACAGCCGAAAACATCGCGGCAAAAACACCGCGAACGAAAAAGTTGCGGAGAAAACAACGCAAGGCGAAAACGTCGTGCTACAAAACATCGTGGGAGAAAACATCGCAAAGAGAAAACATCGCAGTTCTAAAACATCGTGGTACAAAACATCGTCGTCGAAAATAAAGCGGTTCAAAAACTTCGCAGTTTAAAAACATCGTCGTCGAAAATATCGTGGTAAAAAATAAAGTATCGATGACATCGCAGATATGCGATGTTATCGATACTTTATTTTTTATCGCATGACGATAACATCGCAGATATGCTTTTTTGCAGGCTTTACTAACTGTAAATGGAAATTCCCATAAGGATTTGTGAGCGCAAGATGTAAAGAAGGATAATTTTTACTTTCACATTTTTTTATTAACTAATAAATTTTTGCTGAAAATGTAAGAAGGAAACTTAAGAATAGAAAATTAGATGCAAGTTATAGATTATACTTTTCGTGAAAAATTACAAGTAAAAACTTTATAAAAATTATTTATTAATGGCCTTTGTTAGTTAAAAATGTCGGTTTAAAATTCTGTTAAGTGCTATAAGTTGCAATAATTTTCTATGCTTAAGTTTCCTTTTTATTTTCTCAGCAAAAATTTATTGGTTAATAAAAAATGTGAAAGTAAAAATTATCCTTCTTTCCATCTTGCGCTCACAAATCATTATGGGAATATCTATTTACAGTCACTAAAGCCTGAAAAAAGTGTATCGCCATGCGATGATTTGTAGATACTTTATTTTTTACCACGATATTTTCGACGACGATGTTTTTAAACTGCGAAGTTTTTGAACCGCTTTATTTTCGACGACGATGTTTTGTACCACGATGTTTTAGAACTGCGATGTTTTCTCTTTGCGATGTTTTCTCCCACGATGCTTTGTAGCACGACGTTTTCGCCTTGCGTTGTTTTCTCCGCGACGTTTTCGTCCGCGATGTTTTTGCCGCGATGTTATCGGCGGACACCGTTCTGACCGAGACAGGAAAGCTTAACGTTTGAGTTCTGTGCGTCCTCTCTGACCTCACAGATAATATTCTATTAACTACTATTTTGCAAAGGAATTTTAAATAGTAAATCTATTCATTCCTTTTATAAGCCCATAAACTTCAGTAAGATCTGCTATTAGTTTTACTTGCTCTTTTCTTATTCATTCAATCTTAAAAATGAGTATACTCATTTAAATTAATAAATCACAAAAACCTGCAAACTGCAGCTTATTAATTTAGTGAGCTAATGAATTTGCATAAGATTAATATACACAAGGATACCTTTACGTGCGAAACACTAATTCATTAATTAAGTTATTTAAAATTGTACGGAAAGTGTTTAGAAATCCTATTATTTATTTCTTACAGTTCACTATATCCGTAGACTTGGTGTCTGTTCTTCAACCGTTTGAAGAAAGAGCAGGTTTGGGCACTATAGACTGATAATTTACACTACGAAGTATTTTTATTAAAATTAAAATATTTCAATTTAAATAGTACGCTGCTGATTATCTTCAGCTATGTAGTTCAGGAGCTATAAATTTAATTATAGTTTATCCAAAATTATCAAATCAAATATGAATATATATATTCTTAAATGATCGGAAGAAAAATGTACTCTTAACTTTTGTAGGTATTTTGATTTTATTTGAGGCTATCGTCAGATTTTTTAATAATTTGTACGTAATATTATATACAAAATGTCTTAAAATGTCGCTGCCAAACCTAATATAGTGGTTTGTCATAGCATGACAAAGAAGATTTACATAGGAATTTGTGTCCGAAAATGCGAACGGCGACCGCTAGAGAGCATTTCTCACAAGTGAAGAGCGGAAGAAAGAAAGGATGTCAAAAGAGGTGTTAATTTGACTTTTATTAAAGAACATAGTTAAATCATAGAAGATATTCAAAATTCCTTCCATTCAGCACAATTAATGTTTTCACAACGTCGATGCATAGATTCACGGATTAAAAATGGGCAAGTGTGTCACGGACACGTGCCGCCGCTTCCAAGATCCTGGATACGAGATTTATATTCGATGTTACGGTCTTCTCGTACATCATGGACTTCTTACATCTCCACAGGTAGAAATCCAAGGAAGTCAGGTCGGGAGATCGTGATGGCCAAGCGATTGGTCCTCCTCTGCCAATCCAGCAGTAGGATATGTCCTATAGAGGTACTCCCGCACAATGCTGCAAAAATGTGCACGCGCTCCATCATGCTGAAACCAGATGTTTCAGCCCGTAGCTGCTGGAACATCAACGATGAGTTCCGGCAACACTCTTTCCACAAAATGTCCATAAAGGTTAGTAAACCGATTCATCCTTCTCTTGCAATGTCCTTGCCTGAAATGATCCCACTTCTCACTCTCCCATAAAGGCCTGCCAACATTGCCTTCTAGCGGTCCCCGTTCGCATTTACGGATACAAGTTCCTATGTAAATCTTGTTTGTACTGGTATGGCAGACCAGCATGGTAAATTAGCAACGAAATTTTAAGCCAACGTGTAGAATAACAGTGCATAATGTTAAGCAGATTATACAGATAATCTACCATCAATTACTGAATAACCGCTTTTTAAGAATTTAAACTATCTGAATTGATTTATTGGTAATTAATAATAATTAACAACGCTTCACATAAAGCAGACATCAGTGCATAGTCATGATATCTTTTATACCCTTGAGCTATTCTAGGTAGAAGAATTGGTACTATTCGGTTTCGAGGGCCGTAAAAAATCGCCAAGCTATTGCGTTGATGCCAATGCTACCAAACATAATTGCGGCAACCCTAATAATTGCGGCAAGAAAGGAAGTATAATAGTAAATAACTATCTAAGATTGATGTTTTAATTTCATATAATACTTTTTTATTATTATAATTTATATGAAAAAGACTAAACATGACTGAATGGAAGCATAAGAGTAAATAACTATTTCCGATTCATTATTATAATTTATATAAAAATTGCTAAACATAGCTGAATGGATGCCTGCATCGCTATTTCGCTACCGACTTATCGCTAAAGCATAATTTCATCTCGTTGGTTGTTCAAACGTAATTTTCTATAATGAATGATGCCTTTTCTTTGAAAATATTCTCGGTAAAGTGCAGAATCGCTCGCTTATTTGTTTGCCGCTTTTCACACGGATAAAAACAATTGGATTTTTGTCAATTTTCGTTTACTTTTTTAAATGAAAATAGGTCGATGTGTACATAGATAAAGTCAAGGGTGTGCGCAGTGCCATTTTTGTGCAATTCTGGGATTATTTTTCAAGTGAAAATAGGTCGATGTGCACATGGATACCGAGTATAGCAATTCTTAAAAACGCGTCAAACAGTGGGTTATTCTGCACTTTACCCAAAATTCTATTGCCGACTTTTCGTCATGGGCAATTCCCAAATTGTTAATTTCATAAAATATTAAAAAAGGATTTAAAATCAAAAAAAGATTTAAAAATTAAACTAGCATTTCAATGGCGTCTTAAGAAATATAGAACTATATAAACTTACGCAATCTGAAATCAATGCGTACGCTAGATTTGGCGCGCTGTTAAATGGGTGCGTTTGCTAGATTTGGCGCTTTTGCGCATACATTTTCGCTGCAATTTTTTACGGTCCTCAAAACGGAATAGTACCGAAGAATTATTAAAAACGTAGTCATGAAATGAAAACCACCCTCGTATAAATAAACATCACATAGTTTATGGATGTTAATTTGTTGCTATTTTAGTTTAAAAACAAATAATTTAAATATATTCCATGCTAACTAAAGTAATCTAAATTTTAATGTTAATTATTCTATAAATTAATAATTGCTGTAGTTAAGACTCAGTATAACAACCCCCTAACTCTCTAAGGTAAAAGAACATTATAACGAAGGGTCATTATAAAGGAAATAGGTTTCATAAATGATCGCTAATGGAGGATTTTTGAACCTGACTTTATAAATGAACGATTGCTATCATGAGCAATCGTTATAATGAGTATCAACTATAGTATTTTCATAGATAGAAAATGATTGCCATCTTCTACCTCTAAAATCATTTCGTGTCAAACTAAATGTTTACTTTCTAAATGATCAACTAAAAGCTAAAATAATTTTTCTTATTCATTTTATTTAATTACTAATTAACTGTTATTACATTGTTAATTAGTGTATGTCTTGCCTTTAATGTTCTGTCTTGATGATTTGTTCTGTCCGAACACAAAATTGTGTTCTTCCGTAATTTATTGATTTGAAGCTTTTGATTTATTGCCTAGTTACCTGTGGTGAAGGTTGAGAGGGAAAAGGAACAGGCGGTGCCAAGGTGGAATTGTTGCTCGCGGAATTACTAGCATTCTTGTTGGCTTCTTGTACGTTTGAAATGTTGATAACCCCTGCATTGCTCTGTTGAGCGTTATTGCCTCCGCTTCGTCTCTGCATATCGAAAATTTCAGACTGGTCCATAACTTCCTTTGGATCCGAATCGCCCATCAGGTAATTGACCATCAAGTCATTGTACAAGTTTCCATCGCCTGCCTCTGGTTCCATCGGCTCCTGTCGAGAAATTAAAAATTCGTGTTTACGAAAGGTTTTTTGCGTGAATTACGCTTTTGTTTTAAAACAAACAAGAAATGATCAATCAACCCTATGGTCTCTAACTGACGAGAAAATCTCAATTTGTTACAAAGATTTCAAGATTTTAGTAATTTGTGGTTCGGGTATGCACTATTTCCATTAAAAACGAACATGAATAACGCATCAAAAAAATTTATAAATAGAGCTAATTAATTTACAAAGTGTCAAAAATATAAAAGTGCGAAATGATCAACTTTAAACTGTACTTTCAAAAATAAATATTCTTGCCAGCCAATCAGGATAATAGTTACTGAATCTGACTACGTACCGTAGGGTCCGGTTTCGAATCCCTGAGAAAGCATGGATGTTTGCAAATGTATAGTGTCTGTGTGACATGGGTACACTCAAAATGTGCGGTGAGATGAAAATCCTCTGGAGAGGTTGGTGGTAAGAAAGAGAGGTGGGAGAATTTCGGACGCATTCCCCGGGGTGCTCTCCTTAAAAATTGGGGCAGGCGGAACTGAGCTAAGTCAGTGTCACCAGTATGGTGCCCAAGGCTCTTGCCAACGACAGACTAGGGAAAAATAGGGAAAATTTTTCCCCGAATTCGAGAGCGACAGTTTTCGTTCCCTACATGTGCTTACATAATTCAAATATGTCTGCAGGGCTTTCTTTTCTGCGAAAAGATACTAACGGTGAAACGAAGAGCTTCCCGCTGTCGTTTGACTTCTTGCCACGATTAATTTCGTGGGTTTACTCTGATTTCAGACAAGCGAGATTAGTCACAACCGTAAATATACTCATTTACTAATTTTATCACTAAGAATTCTAAGTTTCTTATGTTAATTAACCAGTTATTATGACTGTGAGCATTAATTTAATTACCTTCCGTGTTCTTCATCACAATGCAAATTAGACGCTGAAGGCTTTGGATGCTTAGACAGGGAAAGAGCTTCTGGAACTCAAGTTCTTCTGCTACGCTTTCGCCAGTTCTACTTAAATGTAATTATCTAGGCTTTACATTCTCTCGCAGACGATTGCTTTGAAAGTACACTCCGGTAGAAGTTAGTTGAACCAACTTATAGCTTAATTTATTCGAATGTGTAGTCGTAGACAACTTTTATGAGAGTTAAAATTTGATTACCTGATATTGTTTAATTTACATCGCCACAAGTAGTGGCTTGTGGGTAGTACGAGTTGTGCTGGTTTCGTTAAACATTCAATTTAATAAAATGGTTGTTTAAACATTCGGCAATTGTCACAGACACAGCGAAAACGCGCTAGGTTTTTAGTAGGGTTGTAGGTCTGAAATTCAAGATTCAGCTCAAGTACTACCTTACAGAATAATCGCTTTGTTTGTAAGAAACGAGCCCGATTGGACCAATGAGGCTTCCCCATTCCGTGAAAGATAGTTTCTAGTAATTTCCTCCCAGACTAAAAAATCGGAATGTCGTCGAATGTCAAGTTGTAGTAAGAAGTAAAGAAGTTTATAATTATTTACTGTCGAATTTTGTCCACTTGAAAAGATTTCGTTGAAAACTTAGAAAGCTTTTATGATTTGTATGTTTCTAGTTTCAATGTAAGTAAGATTTTTAACGATTAATTAAACACGTAGGAATGATTTGAAATAAATATTAGTTTGAAAATGTAATATTTAACTTTCAGTGAGTTACAAAATGTAAGGAACAAAAATGCCTTGCAGATTGAAACTTCAAATTTTAGATTGAAAATAATTGTAACTTTTTCTCCTTGCGATATTATTATTATTTATTCATGTTTTATTAATATTTAGGAATCTAAATTAAAAATTTATTTAACAATTTTTCTTATTTTGGTAAATAAAAATATTCATTTTGTTAAAAAAATCCTGGCTCGTCTGCTGTTTATAAAAACAAGTAAAGTATGGTTAGACCCTTTCTGACCACGATCCCACGGTCAGTATAATTCTAGCTCCCAAACAAAATGCTAAAGGAATATAATTTAATAGTATCACTTGTACCTTTTAATAATATCACTTGTGCCTATTTTTTTCTCTGTTAGAATTCTTCTTCTTAAAAAGACTGAATGGTTATGAAACATATTTACGTTCAAATTGGCACATATTTTGAGAGCTCACAAAAAAATTCTGATAATTATTCCAACTTAAATACCCTTAATATTCGGAATTAAAATTTTGCACAAACAAGATTAAATAGTTTATGTATATATAATAAAATTAATTACAATAAGATCGTATTTTGATGGTTTTTAATGTTATAAAACAGAAGCTAATTCTGGGTATAGACAGACCTACCTGAGCGTAGACATCGCTTGGGTAAGCTGCCCTGTACACAGGATTTAACGAACCTTCGTATTCGTAGTTACCATAATCGGCTTCATCTTCATTCCTTTCTGGTAACTGTTGCACAAAGTCGTCTGTCCACTGAGGAGGTAAGGCATATATATCCTCAGAAGTCAACTGATAGCCCGTGAGAGGTGCAATAGGAGCCTGGTAAGGAGCTGAAGCAGCTTGAGTGTCAACCTATGGAATTAAAGTTCTTTCATATATGGAAACCTAAACATGTTCTCGAAGGGAAAGCACTTTACTTGCTGTAGATATTATAGAAGAAAAACGAAATACGCCAAATTTATATAATCTGTTTCTTAGGGTATTTAACATGAAGTGAACTTTGAATATTGCTTTTGGAACTTATCTGATAATTCTGTGAAGATAATGTGTTGCTTATGTTACCGCTGATTCTCTAATACTTACTATAATCTCTGCACATGTATGAAGCTTTTCCTTATTACCATTCAAGTATGTTCTACAACAAGCTTCGGAAACCTATGACCCGCGGGTTACCGAGTGAACTGCAGTGGGATGGACAAAAATATGGAAACACCTTGTGAAATGCATGTTTGAAAAGAAAGATTGATTTTAATGAAATATGTAGATGGCGCTGGCGTTTTTGACTACTGACGCCACCTATACAACTTCGTAAATGTGCTAAACAGTTCAGTTGTTGTCGGAGTACTGTTATGTGAGGTTGTCATTGCATTATGTCAGAGTTAACAGACTTCGAACGTGGGCAAATTGTTGGAGCACGTATGGTAGGTGCTTCCGTAAGCAAAGTAGCCGAGGTGTTTAGTGTTTCAAGAGGTACTGTATCGAAAATTTTTTCCGCATATTTGAAAAGCGGAAAAACATCATCTGCTAAATCACAGCGCGGACGAAAGTGTGTCCTGAGTGATCGTGACAGACGATCTCATTAATGGCAATTGTGACGAAAAAATAAGAAGACCACAGCTGCAAAAGTTACTGCTGAAATGAATGTTGCGTTACCGAACCCTGTGAGTACCAAAACAATTAGAAGGGAGCTTCATAAACAGGGAATTGCTGCCCGAGCTGCTTTTGAGAAGCCACTCATCAGTGATGCTAATGCCCGTAACAGGAAAAGGTGGTGTTTAAGTCATAAAGCCTGGACTATAGAGCAGTGGAAGCGAGCAATATGGTCTGACGAGTCTTCTTTCACATTGTTTCCCACTTCTGGCCGAGTTTACGTCTGGAGAACGCCATCTCAAGCCTATAATACAGACTACTTGTTGCCAAGAGTGAAACATGGCGGGGGTTCTGTTATGGTTTGGGCAGCCATATCGTGGTTCTCTACTAGCCCCATGATAACTGTGTCAGTGCACATGACTGCCAAGACTTATGTGAACATTTTGGCCGATCAAGTTCCTCCCATGGTACAAACTTTGTTCCCCGATGGTGATGGTGTCTTCCAATACGACAAAGCCCCTATTCACACAGTTCACATTGTCCAGGACTGGTTTTCTGAGCACGAGGATGAGTTGTCCCATCTCCCCTGGCAACCACAGTCACCAGACCTGAATATTATCGAACCTTTGTGGTCTACATTGGAACGGAAAGTGCGTTCTCGTTATCCACCGCCAACATCGTTATCTGAACTTGCCACCGTTTTGCAGGAAGAATGGTATAATATTCTCTTTGGAAAACATACAGGAACTGTATTTATTCATTCCGAGAAGACTGCAAGCTGTTTTGGATGCCAACGGGTTTCCTACACCATATTAAGCAAAGAAACATGTTTTTTAAAGGTGTTTCCATGTTTTTGTCCAACCTCTGTATTTCAAAATTACAAGGGGTCTACCTGAATTCCGAAAATAAAGTATAATATATAAAAATAAATTATAAAATATAAAGAGGAAACGAAGACGAAAAATACATAAAAAAGTAAACTGAAGATAAGTAATAAAGATAATATTCTTTTTTATTACAAAGTTGCAGTAAATAGCATGCATTTAATTTTTAAACAATAAAAACTGTAACATCACTTCAAAGAGAAATCGATAAGTATGGCAACACCAATTCGTGATTTCTTGAGAGACATCTGGCAACACTAATGTCATTCTCTTATTTCACTCTTAACTGTAGCACTTATTCAAAAGCGCAAGAATAAATTCAGTAGCGTAAAATTTCTCATTAGCTCAGTTCATAAATACGAAAAAATATTTTCACATATGAAATTTGCTTTAACTAAGAACAGGAGCAGATTAGATGCCTGTTTTCATCTCAAGACGACTAACTTCTAAGCCAGACTTCACTTAACGACGTTGGAAACCGAGCATCAGGGAAAACATTGATATCGAAGAAAAAATAAAGTTCAATTATTTATGTTTATTTTTATAATAATTATAATTTAATTTTTTATGTTTAAAGTTAAAAGCGTGTTGGAATTGTTTTCTCAATAATATTTATCTTATAATTCGCCGAAAAAGCCTTTCTTAAAATGGATATATCACTGACCCGAGATATCATCTTAATATACACATTTTGGTTGACTTTGGCACACAGCCAAAAAAGATTACCAATGCCTGTTCGATAATAAATATTTTTTGGTGTTCACCCCGACGTCGTTTACGGTCTGCTCTGTGCTAGAAACATCTCACTGAAGATCCATGTACGTCATCTTTTAACGACGAAAGCTTAAGCTCATGTTGAACATTGTTTGCTTCCTCCTTCTTTCGTTGGATTATGTGCCTCTACCTTTATTTGCCGATTTCTGCGTGGAGTAGGCATTTAGCTTCTTTGTGCTGTCGTCATTTATTTTCAGCTTCCTTTTATTCATAAACTTCGTGTTTCTGGTTATATGTTTATAGGAAAATGTTTGTCTATCACTCCCCTCCCGACTTTTCGAAACTGTATTTTGTGACACTCTACGTCCTTGTATTGCTACATTCTCCAAATAAACCCGAATAAAGAAATATTGCTAAGACTACCAAATTAATGAGAAAATATATTTACAACACTGTGGTAAGTGTATTGATACCTACAGATATATCTTGTTTTTAATAATATTTTCTTTACAGTAAACTTATATTACTTTGTATGGGACTATGTTTTACCTAATATAAAGCTATAGATCCTGAGTACTTTACTAATATTAAATACAAAATGCCAAATCAATTTTAGTTGCTTTGTACAATTTTTTTTGCCATAATAAATAAACTAGTATCTAGATACGATTGACTCATTCATGACCTATTCACCTTTTTTTAATTATTTTCGAGAGTTTTAAGCTGCTTGATTCATCTGCCAGTTATTTCAAGTTGTTTCAGATCTTTTACATACTTTCTACTCTGTTTGTTAAAACAGTACTTCCTGTTTCGATGAATAGCAAAACGTTCAAAGTTTACATCATAATATCAACCTTGAAAAGATCTCTCTTTGATACCTCAATCAAAGAATATGAAAGAAATTAAAGTACCCACTTACGTTGTTTAATTTAATGGTGGTTTTCCACAGCGGTTTTAAAGTCATAAATGTGGTTTCAAAGTCATAAAGTTGTAGAGTTCCTCACTTTGTAATTCCAAGTTATTGTTGGAAGTGAAGAATCTAAGAACTGATAAGCGAATAATCGCTTAAGTTCGGTGACAAGAAACAACAAGATAGAAGGGTAACTAACCCTTTATTATTCCAATAATATTTAACAAAACTCCGCCTGGGAGTGTACAAACAAAGCCCACACTTGGTCTTGAACTTAAGAGTCTAAGAATTAAACTAAAACTCATGTTAACTAAAGAAATATAGCCGAAGCTATCAAGATTCAAACCGAGTTGGCCCCTTAACTTTTTTGACTACGAAGCTTAGCAAGGGCCTGAGTACGGCCGAGCGCAATAAAGCTTTAAGAGAGAGAGTGGCTAAAAAGGCAGACGCGCGTAAATCAGAAACTCTGATTCTCTCTGACTCAGTAAGTAACTTCGTGGTTTAAATACCGCTCTTCCTCATTAAATATTCAGCAAGATTCCAAAACTACGTTCTGACCGGAAGTAGTACGTTGAAGTTACGAATTTTGACAGGAAAGGAATTTTAACTTAAAATTTAACTGTTAATAAAATTAGCATAATCCTTACATAGTCATAAAAGGCCTAAGCCGAGCTTCTTTGCTAGGCAACCAGACAAGAGAGGTTAGAAAATCTGGTTTAAAGAATTTGCTTAAATGTTCTAACTTTTCAACTTTATACCATTTGGTATAAGACCCGACCAATCACAATGAAGCAAACATCGATCGACGGCTCGCCTTAGGCAGTTACACATCTGCGCATGCTCAGCTGTTCCTTCCCTGATTGGCTATAGCTTAAACGCTGCTAAACATGTGTGAATGGACTTAATGACTTTTACGCTTTAAGCCAGAAAGCTTTATGATGACAAATCCGTCGTTTGAACAAAGTTATGCATCATATGCAAAGAACGCCCTATGGTGTCCTAAAATTTGCTTATTCTGTCCTCTTTCTCATAGATTACGTGTCAAACTTTTTTCGCGTTATTTTTATTTAGAGCACAGAGAAATGTGAAGTTGAACATAGAAGAAAAGCAATGTAAAGATGTTAGATGGAATAGGAAATGGGGATCCTAAAATACTAAACGGACAATATTTTAAGGGTTTTTCGTTCAAACTTGCAGGAATTTTGGAAAAAAAATCAAAAATATATCAGTCGAATATATTCATATAGTTCGTTATACACGATTTAGTTACCTATGCAGGTTCGTTACTACAGTATATAATAACGTTACGTATGTAAGAAATTGAACGAATCCAATACGTTAGTGCGTTATATTCGAGAGTTCAACATTACTTCTGTAATAACGGCGTGTAATTTTGGCATAGAATTTAATGAAGATTTTTGAATCAAAATTTGGGTCTCAAGTCTTCTGAACATGTTAACCAAACATAATTTTATTACATAAAGATACGAACCTGGGGAAAATATCGAGTCACAGGCAGTCTGAGTCGTTCCAGAGCTTCCATCGCCGATCGCCGTACCGGAGGAGATCTATGAATAATGTACCTTGGATCGTATGGCATCACTCTGCTGTACACCATCTGAGAATTGCATAGATCTGGAGAGAAGTACAGGAAGAAGAAGAGTACGAACATGTTTACGGCACCTGTGGGAAAAACAGTAGCGAAAAATTCTAATGAAACAACCTGCTCGTAAATGCATAAATAATACACGAGAGTTAATCTTCTCCCTTACAAATATTCGTAATTTATGTAAAATATTGTCTGCGTGTTAGTAATGTGGCATTTAAACGTTTGTTCGTAACTCTTGGGATAAAATGCTCTTTATCCCATTATTTTACAATAGAATCCATAACCAACCGTGTCGGAATAAGAATAAATATTAAGAATTGCTAAACCCTTAGGCGCTTTTATATACACATTTTACGGAGCATAACAGTCAATAATTGCACAAATTTCTTCTTTTTGTCATTATCATATATTAAAACAGACGAAAAACACGCAAAAGTAATACATAAAATAAGCCAAAACAATAACACTGTATATGGCGTAAATTTTAATCAAGACACTATGGATTTCGAGGCTAAACAGGTACAGGTCCTTCTTCATCAGAAGCGAAGAAATCTGCCAGTAGAGCAAACTATGTAAACTGGAAGAAATTTCTCGAAACTACAGATTCGTAGCAAAAATCAAGACAGAAAAGAAAGAGTAAAATATAAAATTAGAAGTAAAATATAAAATTAGAAAAAGCAGTAACCCTGTGTTCGGCTAAGATTTCAGTCCATTTCGGTCCTTCATCATCATGACCAAATAAATCTGTTTAATCGATCGAAGACTAAAATCTATGCCAAACACAATATTGTTGCTTTGCTTAATTTTGTGATTATCACATTTTGTATCAAATTAATATTTCGATTATATTCCGGGTTTAACTTGTAGGTTTTCTGCTGTGCCTTCTCTAAGCTTATGTTAATATCCTGCAAACTGTACTAGATTGCAGAACCAGTTTAGTCTGAAGCAAATAAACAAGTCCTAAGGAGGTTAAAATTATCATTAAAAGAACAGAAGGCACTACTCGTGCCAAATTATCTTCCAGGGTGCTGTATCATATGTTTCCTGGTTATCACTGTACATATTCCATACATATTTAAATCGCACTCTTTATTTTGTTACTTTAGCCGGTAACTTGTAAATGGCTATAAATATTTTCTAAATAAATATCCCGAGTTTTGCTATCGCATAGAAATGAGCTGGCTACCTTGCTCCAAGATTCACATATGTTCTGGAATATGGAAGACAAAATTAGCCATTTTTATGTAATTAAAGAACAAGACACAAGCTTACTGATAAATCTTTTGTGGTCACGAGGTATTTGTTTTACGGTTGTTATTACGAAACATTTTTGGATTTGAATTTGACACTGCTAAAACAAAGGTTGACTTATGAACATGATTGATCTAACAAAATCATTCTAGCGGAAGTTATTGCTTTAGGATAACCATGTAAAAATGAAAACTTGATATATTTCTCAAATTATGCTAAAGAAACTAATTCAAGGTACCTATTTTGTACGATGAATCACCCAAAAAAATTCGTTTTTTGAAGAAGGAATTAGAAGAGACGATCTAAGATATCAGATCTATGGGAGATGAGCTCTTCGTAATTTCTGCCTGACTTTAAGAAAACCCAGCCCGTTTACGAATGGAATTAATACACATTTATTAAGATTCAACTCTAAAGCAGCATTTCAAGTCAAGTGGCCATTTCGATCTAGAGAGTTCCGATTTTTTACACTTCTCATGTCCGGCAGTTTGTATCAGAATAAAGAAACCTTTTCTAACTTATGTAAAGGATCATATCACCAGCGAGATTCTAGTTTAGACATTTGCTTGACTTCCATTCTGAAAATCGCTATTTCGTAGCCATCCGAAAAGTAGTTACAAGAAAGAAATATCAAGTATTTGAAAAGAAACAGTAAGTATATATTCGATGTTGCCCACACATCCTTACGCTCCTTCTATTTTAAAGAGCTAGAGTTTCAGGGAAGATTTTAAATATTTTCTCACAAATTAAATACATTGTGAAATAAGTAAATATTCCCATCAGAGGTCAAGCGGTTAAAGCCCCTGAATACTGGTAGTTTGGTCCGGGATTCGAGCCCCGGCGAATGGACTTGCTGCATAGGTTTCGTAGTTTTTCCATGTGTAACGTGGATACGATCCAATTTCCCTTAATAAGACCTCTACGGGGCGTCCTTTCTTTTCCGTTGGGTGTCTAAGAGGGGAACACATAATAAGTGAAAAAAACCTAAACACGTAATTGGCCTTTTTTCTTTATTTTGGCAATTTACATACTTGTAACTATGCTTAGTATAACAAGCCTGGTCTAGAGCAGCAGCATTCTCGACTTTAAAAGCGTCCTTAATTTTGAGTTAAAGCATGTTTCTCTTCTGATTTAAACAAAGATCAACCGTTCTCTCTTGACTATAATGGACTTTATTTAGACTATACCAGCAATAAGCGCAACCGTTCTCCCTTGGCTACATCGGACTTGATTTAGATCAGAACAACAATAAGCGCAACAACTTTCGGTTTGTCACAATGCACTTGATTTAGACTAGACCAACAACATTCGCATCCGTACTCTCTTCGCTACGATGGACTTGATTAAAACTAGACCAACAACAAATGCAACCGTTCTCTATTGGTCCCAATGGACTTGATTTATACTAGAGCAATAACATGTGCCCCAGTACTTTCTTTGTTACAATAGACTTTATTTAGATGAGACCAACAATAAATGCAACCGTTCTACCAGCAGTAAGCGCAATCGTTCTCCCTTGGCTATATCGGACTTGATTTAGATCAGACCAACAATAAGCGCAACAACTTTCGGTTTGTCACAATGCACTTGATTTAGACTAGACCAACAACATTCGTGCCCGTACTCTCTTGGCTACGATTGACTTGATTGAAACTAGACCAACAACAAGTGCAACCGTTCTCTTTTGGTCATAATGGACTTGATTTAGACTAGACCAACAACATACATGCCCATTCTCTTTTGGCTACAATGGACTTGATTCAAACTAGAGTAACAACGAGCGCGCTTGTTCTTTCTTGGCTACAGTGGACTTGATTTAGCCTAGACCAACAATAAGCGCAACCGTTCTCTCTTGGTTACATTGTAAGGATCCTAAGTTTTACAAACGTTTATTTTATTTTAGATCTTTACTATCACTTCTTATTTTCTACTTCCGGCCAGAATTAAAATCTTTAACTTATTTATGCAAATTTATCTTGCTAACGCCAAGTACTTAAGTTGTGGCTTTTTGCCAAGCAAGAGAGAGGAAGGAGTTATTGGAAGCAAGCCGCTTACCATAGTAGTTTTACTCGGTTGCTGGTTGCCTTCAAGGCCAGAGGTTTAGTCCTCTTGATAATTTCAAACGTATCGTAGTTTTAGCAGCTCTCTGTACTACATACGGACTTTTGTTAAATAACGGCCGATCTTAACGCTAGGCACTTGTATATTAATCCAAAGTTAGTTTTAGTTAGAGTTTTAGTTAGTAGTTTTATATTCCTACGTTCAGACCACAAGTGGTTGGTCCCTGTATTCCGAAGTTCCGGAAATCTCTGTAAAGATAGAAAAATAAAGGGTTTCGTATACCCTTCCTGTGTGTATTGTCTACTTCACAATTTATTGATCATAGCTTGAGTAAGCTCCCTGTTCCGAGTCAGGACAGTTCATGTTTCCAAAGCAAGTCAAGAGGAACACAAGTCCTGATAACATGTACTTGATTAAGACTATGTTTAATCTTAACAATAACAGCAATATCTCAACCTAAGCGGTGTAAATTAATTAAACAAACAGTTCGTCTTCAAAATTTTGGTATTAGTTCGCATTTATCCATATTATAATTGCATTTACTTCTCACTGGCCTTTTTATTACTCTTTGAAGTAATTAATTAAGCAAGTACTTGCAAATACGCGAAATTTATGATCTACATTTTCTTTAACAAAATTATTTTTTTCATAGAGAGGGTAAGTAGCGATTTGTAACACGTGCTCTTAATCATTCCGTTTGTTATTCATTTCGAGGCTACATCTAGTTTATTTGAAATTTATTTTATTTGTGGAGAGTATTTAGGGGTTTACCCGAGCCTGATCTAAAAACCGCTGAAATGTGTCTTTAGATTAAGTTTCCTTGATTATCTTCCACAATTCGTTCTGTATGTGCACAGTCGAAGACATCTTTTCACTTGGTGACTGGTATTGTTTTGTTGGTGTTGTTTCTTACTTTTTTTCGTGCATATTCACTGCTTATTCTTTTAAAATTGAAAAATTGGTGTAAACGTTTTGAATTTTAAAATGAATAAAGAACACACTAAAATTGTTTTATCATATGTAAAGTCATCAGGTTATGTTGAATCAGGAACGGGAAAAATACACAATGCCGTCGCTGGAATTCGAAATTCAGATTTCCAGAACTAATCGAGCGTACTTTTAGTTGCTTCACAAAGGCATGCGGAACGGGGAGAAAAAATCCTTTATGCATTAAAACAAAAACTTATAATTAATCGAAAGATTTGCCTGACAGCAATGACTTCAGTCGAAAATCTTTTGGACATCGTCGACCAAAGAGGATTCAAATACAGTGATAAAATAGCGCTTCGAAAAATACGCAGTGGAATTCGATAAATATTTAAACGCTTTCCAAACCAAAGTAAAATTATTGATTTTTAAGAAACAAGCAAATACAATATGCATGGAAATTCATAATTTGGATCATCCGTGTTTTTCCTGATGTTTTATTCGTGACCTTCTTCTCCGGCATTAGCCAGGATAATCAAAAATACACTGTATTAAAAATACACGGGTAAAACTAAAGCAGAATTTGATCTTAAGATTTGATTCATTGTATACTTTTACTATATGTTAAAACTTCCGCCATTATAAAGGGAGATGTCGGCCGATTGTCTTTTCTTCCACTCCGCGGTTGCGGATTGCCTTTCCTTCGATTACGGTTACGGTTCGGCCGCTGAGGCTCGCTGTCGCTGCACGCTCACCACCCTCTGCAATAAACGGGAAGAGCAGAAAGTCGGCAACCCTCTCCAAATACAAGGCGCACTTCGAGAAGCATTGGACA